CTTGTGAAATGTTACACTCATAGAACACTTATTGCGAAAACTAATATTCAATTAATTTGTTTGTACTCATGACAAATAGTGATATCTTATCTTTAACTTGCACATGTTAATTAATCAAAACAGGATTTTCCTTACAATTGATAGATTTCGCACAATATTCTCTCTTGTTAGACGCGTCGACGACTCCGCAGAAATATAAATCTGACATGATTACATGAGAATGCGTCCCTTGAACGTGTCCGACTCGACTTCCGCAAACTTTCTCGATTTTCGCGAGAATTCCGCTGCGAAAGACATGAAAAACACGCCGTCGCCGTCGGTTTCGTCCGGTACGGACGAAAATCACTGGGCCGAATAATGAAGAGGGGCGAAGGAAGAAGCGTTATGCCCGGCGAGAAGAAAGTAGATTCTGGGAGGCAATCAGCGAGTCATTTCCGGCCGACCGGAGGGCCAAATGAGCCGCGTCGCGTCGTTCGACGTGTCTTGATCGTTAGTTACCTTTCTCCCCGGTTACGTATCGGCCGAACCTTTTTATTAAAGGAGAGATACCGGTAGTCTGCCGTCGCCATTTCAGACAGACGGCGGATTCGATTTTCAAAACCGGTGAAAGTCCGCCGCGTCAAGCCGACGATAGCGATCGGTCATTGTGCTTTTATTCCATTTTGCCGCAACTACTGACCTTTAAACGGCGCTGCACGCGCCTTCATAACGAGACTGACAATTTTAGCCGAGCCCGTTGCAAACCGGCACCTTCGACGTTCGATTGTTCTTTCCAATTTGCTCGCGGAGATCCTAACTGGCAATTCTAAGACGAAAAGAATAAGAAGTAGCAATATCACATACACTTTGTGCATTCTTGTTTAATTAGCGCGTAATCGCGCAGCTCAGATTCTAAGGTTGGAGCTTTGGATCGGGTTGTATTCGTTTTAATTTCTTTTTGGCCGATTACGGCAACGTTTGAGGAGGCAGAAAAGAAGGAGGTACTCGAAGGAAGGTTACTGTAAAAAAAGAGGAGCAAAGGAAGAAGGAAGAAAAAGAGAGGAAAAGAGGAGAGGGGGAAGGGTAAGAGTGGTGCGTATCGGAGCGAGGGAGAGAGGTAGACCGGTATAATTATGCAATTTAGATTCAGCTTTACGATTCCGGTTTGGCTTTATTAAAAGCGAGAGTGGGCGTGCGCTCTCCTCGCTGTCTCTCTCCGATCGCGAATATCTGCACGCTCACACGCACATGTATATGCGCGCAAGTAAGCACGCTCGTCTAAGGGAGGGATAACGTGTTCTCTCCGCATAAATACAGCATCGGTGCATCCCGCTGCGTTACTCCTCCTCAGGAGGATACTGCACGTCTCGCCGGTGACGCGAATTTGGTAATCCCGCATCGCGTTAAGTTTCCTCGAGCGGAGAAGAAGTGAAAACTCGTTAAATTATCTCGATCACAATTCAATGCAAATAATTAGGCAATTGAGAGTAAATTGGAAACAAAAACCGAGTCAGAAAACCAGGTCTCAGAATTAGGCGAATTCTTCTTTGCGGGAGGAATCAGTCGGTTCGCGTTATATAACCCCGAAATTGAGCTCAATCAACTCGACTGTTCCGATTGATTTTCTTTTTCTTTGTTTTCGCAATAGTCGCAATAATTGAGCTGAAGCATTCGCATAGCTTTGCCGAAATAGAACGGCAGAATTTCACACGCGGGACAAGAGTCCTCGAAGAAGACTCTACCCCGTTGACAGCGTTGACGTCGAGTGCAATTATCTTACGTAACGCGAAGTAAGCGGATAAGTACCTTCGATCACGTAAGAAAATACGCAGCTCGCGGGCGCGAAATCGCACGGCAACGGCCGGTGATAGGAATCGACGACTCATCATCGTTACGCCGTGTTAACGAGTTCAATGCCGTTCGGGGTCACGGATGACCGACACTTTCGTTAGCATTATATCAGCCCGGCAATCATTAGTGACTGGCAGTTATTATTACGCAGAACGTTCTCGTATCGACTTCGATATTTCAACGACGACGCGATTCGTCGCAACTCATCGATCGCGCCGTCGACGACTTGGTGTATGTGTGTGTATGTATGTTCCGAAATTGGCGTTGTCAGTAACGCATAATGCATAACGCATAATGAAATGAACCAATGAGTGTCCTTCATTTCCATTGTAGAAATGAAGAATTTTGGGATAGAAACGAAGAATTTTGATTGGTTAATTTCTTTATGCGTTATGCATAAGTCTGTGTTTCCCCTTTACCTGGACATATCCGGCTACGTGAGTGCTGCATAGGTACCCAAAATAATAAAAATATTTTATTAGAAAATCATGTTTCTTTTTATACAATAAATATATTATTATCGATCTATTTGTAAGAATATTAAAATAAGATCAATTAAATCAGTTTGTCAGATGTTTGTCATATTGTATTAAATTTTATTAATTTATATTTAAATAATATTAAATTTTAATAAATACTTTTTTTTACTTATATTTGATAAATATTAAATCATATTTTTGATAAATACCAAACCATATTTAAATTTTATTAAACTATATTTCAATCAAATTTTTTTATCAATCTGACATAAAAATTGAACATCAAAGTGTTTACTTTCTGTGTTGGCCATAGTTTAATACTTTGCACATGAAATGACTTAAAGAAGAAATATTGAAACAAGATAAATAAAAAGAAAAATCGAAATAAGAATGACCAAATTGCTTGAATAATTTGGGAAATACGTAGTATTCGGGTAATACTCGAAAGATTTACGTATCCAGATAGTACACGAGATAATAACCGTTTACGTGGAATTAACACCCGAAATGCGACGGGCACGCGCCGCCGTCCGTGAATACGATGATTAGAAAATTACATATTCCGCAGCCCGTTACACAACGACGGTATGACGACGCGGCGCGGCGCATCGCGGGGCCCCTAATTAATACGGCTCTCTTAACGGCGACCCGCTTCGCGAGTATTAACAGTAACTATGACGCGGTCTCGGTCAAGACTCGACCGGAAAGAATGTACACCTACCTCCGCATTCGTATGCAAATGCGGGAAAAACTCTCGACGTGCGCGCTTATGCCCGCGGGGACCTGTCGAATACCTGAATCGCGACTGGCGTTACATTAAAACGCAAAGAGGGGGAGGGGGAAGGGAAACGCAGTCTGATTAACGGTACACTTAAAGTAAAAGCCTGTTCACTGCCGGATTCCACCGAATCATGGCGATCGTATCGTCGATGCTCTCGGGGGGGAGATCATGCGATCGTACCGTATCATCTTCCTTAATTCTCCAACCCCGCCTCCCCCGCGTCGGCACGAGCCCCGACGATTATTCGGACGTGGAAGAGGGGTAACCCCAGTTTGTGTGCAGCAAACATACACATACATACACAGTGACGTGGTGTTGCGCTCCGCTCTGTGAACCGCGATTAGAAACACGTCGGCGTAAAGTATACTCCATATCGTTATGAGGTACGATTAAATTGCATTGTCCGAAGGGCCGGGGGCAGCGATAATCACCGCGTGACCGGCAGTGGGTTTACCCGTAAAGGTCGCGAACTGAGGCCCGGAGGATGGTGTGGCCCACGGTGGTAACAAGCAACGGTAATGCGCGATTACATTCCCGTTTTTCGCAGTGTCGATTAAGACCGCGCTCCGATGTACCTTTTATCCGGGCGCGCCCGTTTAATTACGAGGGAGATCGGGCAACACGAGAATGCGAAAGCGTGTTAACCCTTTGGTCACCTCCGATTTCGCGATTCAGTCGATCTCGATTCGCAGATTCTCGCGTCACGGTCGTGTGATCTTGCCGCGTCTGCAAGTAATATACGTTACTTGTATTCATGTGTTTGTGTTCACTGTTATTTTGTGTCAAAGTACAAAATAATATCTGCACGTAATATTTCTTAATCTGCAAAAGTTCATAATTATTTCACCAACACTTTTAATTGAGGGATCCATCTGTTTGTTTCCTACACTGAGAGAAAAAATGTTTAAGAAATAAAACGTATTTATTTGGTGGATACTAATAACACATTTTATATACTCTTACCCTGATATAAAATATTTTCCAAATAAGAAAATATATTTTTATTTAAAAAAAATTTTAGCTTTTCACAAAAATAGTTATTTAAATAAAAGAATTTAGATTTAAGTAAATATGTTATTTAATCGAGGATTAGGTGCTAAAAACAAAAATAAAATTAAATATTAATCGAATGATTTTATTGAAAAAAATGTCAATAAAATTCAATCAGATTTTATTTCACAAGAAGCGTTCCGTAAATAAAATACTGGTAATTGAAGCATTGTTAGTGATCGTAAAGATTCAATGAAGTAATGAAGTTTCGGCAATGGCTTACATATGTTTCACGTTTCAATGGCAAAAAGATTCATACTGAGTAATTATCTGAGCGACACACATATATGTATCCGTGAAATCTCGAGAGAGTTTCCTCGCGATTTAACGGGTACTCGGTCTTAACTGACAACTCCTCCGCCCTTAGTGCGTAAAATCGCGAATTTACCGTACAAGAAGGCGACTCTACTTAGCGCGCGCTTTCCGCGTATGCCGGAATTTCTGGAGAGCCCGCGCGAATTACGGTCGGACAATTACCGTATTATACATATTTATACGCGATGCGAGGAGCGCGGAGGGGCGATCGGGGGAGCGGTAGATCGTATGGGCCATGTGCTGCGCGAGAGACTCTGGGGACGGTGCGAGAGGTGCACCGAAAGGTCGACGCCACGGTCCTGCCTTGTAAGCTCCCCGATGTTTATTGCCCAATCGCCCCTTTGCCCCCCCCCCTCCCCTCTTCCTCGTCCATCGTCCCTTCGCATTGTCGGAGCGCGCAAACATCGCTGACAGGTGCCCGGTTTAATTGCACGCAGTTTCTCGCGCCTCTCACCGTGGCGACCGAGATTTCGGGATTAGCAAAGTTATGGGCCGCGACTCTCGACTCGCCCGACGTAACACGCTTGTTTTCCCGTCTGTTACAGTTATCAGCTTCGTCGCCCGGCGCTATCTCTTCCGTGGTCGCCCCGGTATTGCTGAAGTTTCGTGTATGCAGGCCGCGACTGCTGCTCGCCGGCTCAAGGGCCGAGGTCGACCCCGCGGCCGATGTGGCCCTCCTGCACGGTGAGGTTCTGCTCATCGAGGACTCCGCGAGGCAGTACGACGCAACAGGAGGTAATCGGATCTTTCTCGTTGTGCCTTGTGAAATTTTTATTTCGATTTTAGCACGCTGAGAAATACTTGAACATTAATTTTTGAAACGTAAAGTCTATTCGCAGAAATAAATTTTATATCTCATAAATGAATTGTCAAGTAATTTTTCTGTGATTTATAACGCAATACATTCGTCAACGTTGATTCCACAGAATTTGAAAAAACTTGGTCTAATGAAGCCACAATCGCAAAATATTGCATAATCTAATTAATATTAATTTAGTGGTTTAAATGAAAAAAAGAGCAGTTTGTAGAAATCTAGATAAATATCAATAGCTCCATTCTTTTTATCGATGTGCACAGTGCCGCGAATGCCTTAGCATCGATAGATCGATAGTTATAAAAGTTTCCAGCTCTATCTGTATTTATATAGTTATGCATTTCCATGACAGTTTATTAATCCGAAAAACATGTTATCGCTATCTGGATTAATCAACAGTCATGAAAAATTGGCAGCAAATATGACTAGTTAAAGATAGGTCTATTCTTTTTAGCTGAACTGCTGCATATTGGTGAGACAAGTATATTTTATTGCACTTTAATCTATTGCACCAGTTCAGACAGTTCAGCTAAAAAGAACAGATGTTTCGATTTAATCTATCGAGAATTTATCTATCGATAATCGATCTCTCAAATGGTACTCGCGGACGCCGACAGATGTCGCTGCATGGACGCGACAACTTCAATTGCGTGGCCATGTTTGATTTCGACCTTTTCGTATCAAGCAACTGCCGTGGACACATCAATCGATATCGTTCCGTGTTTTGCGCATTTTGTGTCCGTCAACATTGAATCTCGCGCGTAAATAAGTATCCGGGAGTGCCGAAATAGCGATGTGCGATTGTCGGGACGTATCGTAAGTACAATATTAGAGAGTAAACTCCTCGTTACGTTGCGTTTGTGTTACACTTGTTATTAGCATCGGCTCACTCAAGTAAAATCAACTAGTCATCATATTTACTAATTGGGAATTAGAAATGCGATAGTAATCAGAGGGATAGATAGATAATATAGTATCAGAGATACAAGAATATCTCACGGAGAAAATATTGTAGTAAAAATCACGTTGTATTTCTTTACACAATGTTTCTTGTAAAACATGCATTTTAAGCTGCACTGAAGTTGTAGTATAAATTACTATAAAATAATAAGATTGACAATCTGCTGGATATATGATATAAAGGAGGAAATTCATTCATGTAATTACAATAGTTTGCAATAAAAATTGAAACGTGTATTTCTCAATAGATATAAAATAATTTCGGTCTCATAGTTCTATATGGCCCAAAATTACAAAAACTTCTTTGTAACTATTACTACAATATTTTCTCCATGTACAACTTATACACGGACTGGTCCGAGTACAACTTGTAATTAATCGGAGCCTGACCGCAAAACACAGCTCTATCTCTTCTTTATTCGGAACCTCACACGCGACGAAAACATTTTTATCCGCTGTCGTAACTCGAAAACTGAACATGTTTTGCAGATACGGATCGCAGGTACCGGGCCACGGAGAAGCTGTTGCATGCGGAGGAGGAGTACCACGAGATATTATGCAGCGCCAAAGAATTGTACGCACGTCCATTGGCACGGAGATACCCCGAATTCCACGACGTCATTTTCCAGCCTCTCGCGGATCTATCGAGAGTCAGCGCAGAGCACTGCCAGAGGGTGAGTTAACAATGCAATATTTTGCCAAACTGCATGCTCACTTTATCGAGTTCAAGACGTAACGCGTCGCGAGGATCTCAACAAAAAGAAAAAAGAAATATTTCTTTAAACTACTTCACAGAGAAAAATATTCTACTGAAAAGAGTGATTGTTCATTTTCCTTTTTTCAAGTTATCTGCTCATTAAAGAATATCTTTTTGATAATAGTCGCAAAATGTACTTCTCATAAATTTTGAAGAAGCTTGTTATATATTCAAAAAAAGAATTTATTTTCTTTGCAAGAGAATATTATGAAACTTTATCGAAAAAAAATTACTTCAAGTCTGCGTAGCAAGCGAATTGAACTTTTATTTTAATATTCTTGATTGAAATGCTAAACTTGTTAAGACTCGAAATGTATCTTGAACAAATTTAATGTGTTTGCGGATATCTAAGCTGATGAAATACTTGAAGCAAGCAATTTTTTTCTGGAATGTAGTATTCTGGAATGTAGCAATTTTCTGTGTGCGGTATTTAAAAAATTAACGGATAGTTAAGAAATCGAAGAAACGAGCAAGGCTCGTATGGCGCTCGCTGTAGATTACTGAGACCCGCGTGGCATGTTTTATCGACGCGCTAGATACCAGTTCGCGAAAGACAACACGTTGAGCAATCCGGTGAGAGATGGCGGCACCTGAACCGACTCGCCTTGCTACACACCTGTTGCTTCTGTGAAGCACCTTGCCTTTCTCCGCCGTGTCGTGTGTCGCAATTGTAGTAGCGCGAGTCGCCGTAACCTTTTCGAGAATGAGAATGCGATTTAAATACCGAATGGTCGAATGCACCTGCAACAATCATTGAGGTCGAACGCACACGTAGCGTGGTCCTAACTCCGCTCATCCCGTATTCTGCCTGTTTTAGCAACACAATTTTTTTGACAATTAGAATTTTGATATTAGATCGAACAATGTTGAGACCGCGATCGTCGTAGAGTTCGCGACGAAGACACGTGGTTGGAAAGTTGCGCGTCTCGATCTCGCGCTATCTTGAGGAGACGGGGGCGGGTTGGCGTGTTTTCAGCGCGAAAACGTGGCGAGCGATATCGCGTCAGTGGCTGATAAGCGGCGGGTCGGTACCCGGAGGCCAGGCACGTTCGCCATTCACAGTGGCAACGGCAGCAGCGGCCACAGGATGTTGCAGCAGCAGCAGCAGCAGCAGCGTCGGCGGTGGACGTGTTTTCTTAGGGCTGACAATAAAGAGGATGCCTGTCCTTCGGATGTATACACAAAGCCGCGCCGGCGGAGCCGGTTAACGAGTCGGGATGAGCGATGACGGTGGTTAGCACCCTCATAAATATTGACTTTTACAAGACGACTCGTACGCTACGGCGAATGACTGTACTCTCTTTCTCTCTCTCTCCCCCTCTTTCTTTCTTTCTCTACCTTCGAGGCTGTGCGCGCAACAGCCTCGTACAGTGAAAAACGTTCGCGCGCGAGCGCTGCACTGAGCTGAGGCGCGCTGCACCGCACGGAGATCGTTGCGCAGGATTCGAGGCGAAACCGAGGGTGGAAACGCCTACCTTCTTTATTCTGCGCACTCAACATCGCAGTCATCAATAACAAAGTTGCCGTAGAGGCAAAAACGCTCGCAAAAATCGGGGTTCCTCGTACTCTCCTCTCTTTCTCTCTCGCTCTTACCCTTTCTCTCTCTCTCTCTCTTTCTTTCTTTCTTTCTCGATCTCTCCCTTTCTCGCGGCGAATCGTGTTCACGTTCGGGGATCCTGTACCGAGAGGTTATTGCAGCCGCCGGATATTAATTGTGGCGACTTATGATCTCCTACGCGTTTATTTTATTTTCGTTGCCGGTCCTGGAGTGACGTTTCAAGCGAAGCGGCGGACCTTGGACGGTGTACGATTTACATTTTATTTTAATGAGCGCATTAAATGGTTATCGGTTACTTCGATCACTCTGCAACGCCGCCGCCGGCCGACTCTCGCGCGGAGAGATGATAATTTCGAGAAAAAATTCCTCTGATGGGGGATGCTCTCTCTTTCTCTCTCTCTCTCTCTCTCTCTCTCTTTGTAGACGCGAACGCGTGACCTTCGTTCCCGTGACTGGCGAACTTCCTTTCGGGGCGAGGATCGTGATTAAGACACTATCTCCGAGGCGCGACTTTTGTGGGGCATCTTGCATCTTGGGGTTGTTAATCGACAGATCGAATCTGTCGAGACTCTCGCGCGGAGAGGTTGCACGTGGATGAGAGAGCGACACGGTATTGCTCTTGAAATATGTGAGAAATCACACTCTGAAAAAAATTTATTTTTTTATTCGAAGTGATGGTGAAAATACCGCCACTTGGAATCATAAGAGTGGATGTCTAACATTAGAACTACCGATTAATGTCCTATTTCATATTTTTAGATTTTCGAAGAAACACGTAGTGTGTACGGAAAAAAAAATTTGGTTGAATTAACCAAATATCTGGTCGATTATAAACGATTCAGAAATTCCGATTGAAGTAACCCGAATTCTGTTTAAGTTAACAAGATGTTTGGTTGACTTAAACAGAATTCGGGTTACTCCAATCGGAATTTCTGGATCGTTCATATTCGACCAGATATTTGGTTAATTTAACCAAACCTTTTTTTCCGTGTGCAAGAAAGAAAATATTTATGTACTCTTTTCAAGTATGAGTGGATGTTTCAGTCGATCAGAATAAATTTGTCGTCCTGAGTCTATTATTTTTCGAGGAATTTCCTGAATTGATATACATTGGTGCAATAAGTTAATGTGAAACAAGTATATTTTCACTCTAACTTACTGCACCAGTGTACTATATCAGTTTAGAGAGTTCTTCAAACAGATCTTATAGCATATCAAATTTACTTCTGAATTTTACATCAAAGTATATTCACTCGATAGTTTAGAATAGAAGAATTCATTCTGTGAGTGGGGAGTCACTCGACTCCGAGTGATTCGGCTTTACTTTTCAAGTGGAATTTCACTCGAGAGAATTTAGAAAGCGACAGTAACGACTGTAATAATTGTTATTACAGGCGAGAGACTTGCACAACTGTAATAGCCATAATTGCAGTCAACTCTTACATTACTGCAACAGTTATTACTGCTCTTATCATAGCAATAATAATCATAAACATTCATGCGACCATTAGGAATAAATCTCGTCAATAATACTCTCCAACGATTAGCTTTCATCTAAGCCAGAACGAACCTGCTCGCGACGTTAATAATTCACGACTGTAAGTGCAATCGACGAACAATCGCCATGCAAATACCAACGGCTCGACCGGGGGCTCGGGGAAGAAGAAGCTTCGTACGAGGCGAAACTGGTTTATCTCCGATCGAGGTGCCCGTCTCCCGTGCTTCGCGCGGAGATTTACCGCGGAACCGTTTAGCGCCGAATTTTAGCGCCATAAAGGCACACCAGGCTCCTCGGTCGCGATACAAAGGAGAGCGCATCGCGCTCGGCGCGCCGGGAACCGGAGGTTAATTAATGAAAACGCTCGGGATCGCCGTTTCCGAGAGCGGCACCGAACGGGCCCCTCTTCTGCGTCCTCGTGTACACGCTTCGCGCGCTTCATCGCGACGTGCTCTTTTTATTCGGCACCGGTTGCCTCCTCGCGCGGTTTGCACCGCTGCTGCAAGGAGCAATTTCACTTTGGAGGGGCAACCTGGGGCCACCGCGGGCAATTAGAAGCAATCGCGCACCTGGAAGGCGAGGGAGAGACGTATATCTGTCCTTCTGTCTCTTTTCGTCTCTCCCTTCCTGCTTGTCCGCCTCTCTTCCTCCCGCGGGCCTTTGCCCTTTTTTCCTGCTCGATGGACACGAGGAATAACAGGAGCGCTTTTGCTCTATTTGTCTCTCTTCAACAGCTTCACGAGCGTTCTTTCGATTCCTCCTTAACCCCTTTGCAACGCTGTGTCGTCGTGAACTCGACGCAATGATTCGGGGAATTTCTCAGGAATTATCAGTTATTATAATTCATGACGTCTATATGCAGTCGGGAATAATACATGTGTCGCTCGAAATAAATCTTTCGGAAAATATTCCCCGATAAAAATTATAAAATAGACAAAGTAACTTTCTAGAGGGAAACATATTTTGATAAAAGAACATAGAAGTAAAATAAAGTAAGTTTACAAACGTAGTTTTGGCAAAAAATATGAAAAAAATTCTATTTTGGAAACAACCCGTGGACGCAAGGCTCAAGAAATTCGATAATGATCTTTCCTCGAGGAGAATCTTAACAAGCGCGGTTCGAAGTTTCGTTTCGTCAGCCGTTCGTTCGGCGTCCGCGAAAGAGACCTCGGTCAAAGTAAGCACTTTTCTTCAGCGTGTCGGCATCCTTGTTATTTTGAGCGGCGGGTTCAGAATTTTGAAGAGAGAGAGAAAGAGAGAGAAAGGAAGCTGGCGGCAGCTTCTCGTCATCGACGTCCGTCCTTCTCGCTCGATTCCATTGCCATCGTCGTAAATTATGTTTTTGCGCCACGTCGTAGCGCGCTCTACGGTAGTCGTGTTCCACGTGGTGATGCAACCAAAGAGCCAGCGGCTTCCCGTCTTCCCCCGCGATGCACCTGCACCGCGGTTGCTGCATCTTCGCGCGCGAGAATGCGAAGACGCGCGCACCGGCCGACCGACCAACGCCCCGTCGCTTGTACTTTTGTCTCTCAGCGCGGCGATTAACTTATTTACCGCGACGGTAATTAATTCGCCTGGGAATCGTAATTTCAGGAAATTGGCCGGCCGGAGATTAATCGCGCGATCCGTTGCCGGTTCAACGCGTTTTACCTTCAGCGTGTGGTTTAATGCCGCGGCTAAAGTAGACGGCGACAAACTCCATTGAAAGCACAGTCTCGCGTAGATAAATATTTCAATGACATTATCGATTTTTTTATGTATTAAAATATTTAAAGAGACGTGTTGCGTATAAAAATATTTACACATGATCGTCAAAATAAATTATATCAGATAATTCAAATCGCAAAATTTTGATTCTTCA